CACGCGGCGATGCGTGCAGCAGGCAGACCAGCACACGCCGTCTTTCGCCCTGGTCACCTGAAGCCAATCTCACCATAGTAAAGAATTGCATGGTCCGTGCATGAATAGCAAAATTACTCTGCGTTCGTTGCCGACACAGCCGGCGCATACAGCGGGACCACAGCAGCGCAGAAACGTCGCGCAGAACGTGTGCGATTCCCCAGCGCCAGCCCGGCCTGCCCTTCAGAGGGCTCTCACCCCTGTACCCTCCCCCTCCCCCTCCCCCTCCCCCCCCCCCCCCCCGCCACCGCCGTCGATGGTCGGCCAATGAGAACGGCAGGTGTCCCCCGGCCGCGGCCGCCGACCGATCTCGTTATCCCGCTGACAATGATCGGGGCCGACGGCGGCTGTTTACTTATCATTTGGAGGCGCCCGCTTAATGGAGCCGAGCGGCCCGGCTCCGCTGGCGGCGTCTGAGAGGCGCTCGGCACGCCGGCGTCAATACCAGCCGGCATATCGCAGCCTGGCAGTCGGCATACCGCCGCCTGGCAGTCGGCATACCGCAGCCTGGCGGCCGGCATATCGCAGCCTGGCAGTCGGCATACCGCCGCCTGGCAGTCGGCATACCGCAGCCTGGCGGCCGGCATATCGCAGCCTGGCAGCCGGCATACCGCAGCCTGGCAGTCGGCATACCGCAGCCTGGCGGCCGGCATATCGCAGCCTGGCAGCCGGCATACCGCAGCCTGGCAGTCGGCATATCGCAGCCTGGCAGCCGGCATATCGCAGCCTGGCGGCCGGCATACCGCAGCCTGGCAGCCGGCATACCGCAGCCTGGCAGCCGGCATACCGCAGCCTGGCAGTCCGTATACCGCAGCCTGGCAGCCGGCATATCGCAGCCTGGCAGTCGGCATACCGCAGCCTGGCAGCCGGCATATCGCAGCCTGGCAGCCGGCATACCGCAGCCTGGCAGTCCGTATACCGCAGCCTGGCAGACGGCATATCGCAGCCTGGCAGTCGATATACCGTAGCCTGGCGGCCGGCATATCGCAGCCTGGCAGCCGGCATGCCGCAGCCTGGCAGCCGGCATATCGCAACCTGGCAGTCGGCATACCGCAGCCTGGCGGCCGGCATATCGCAGCCTGGCAGCCGGCATACCGCAGCCTGGCAGCCGGCATACCGCAGCCTGGAAGTCGGTATACCGCAGCCTGGCAGCCGGCATATCGCAGCCTGGCAGCCGGCATATCGCAGCCTGGCAGCCGGCATACCGCAGCCGGCAGTCGGCATATCGCAGCCTGGCAGCCGGCATGCCGCAGCCTGGCAGCCGGCGTTATGCCGCCGCATGCCTGTGACGCGGGGGGCGGTGGTGCCCTGCCGGCCGTCTACCGGGGCCGGCACAAGCTGGAGTCCACGCCTGATGTAGGGCGACCGCGACTGTGCGTGTGACCCGGCCTGCTCGAGGCACGTCTGATGCAGGGCGACCGCGACTGCGAGGGTGACCCGGCCTGCTCGAGGCACGTCTGATGCAGGGCGACCGCGACTGTGAGGGTGACCCGTCCTGCTCGAGGCACGTCTGATGCAGGGCGACCGTGACTGTGAGGGTGACCCGGCCTGCTCGAGGCACGTCCGGCTGAGATCGTGACCCCGGCGCCCGGCTCCGGCACCTACGTGCCGCCGGTGACGGTGGCGGCGGAGCGACCGACGCTCGATGATTGCTGTAACGGACGCGGATGGCCGCATCGACGGGCGGACAGTGTCTCATTACGCCGGGCGTTCGCTGCCCCGGCCGGCAATCACCGATGCATGCCAAAGCAGTGCGTAACGATCCCGACCGTTTCCCGTAATGCATGCATTGTGAGGGAATGGCGGGCGGGGCGGAGTGGATATTGCCCCGCCGTGTGGCGGTGAGGCACGACGCCGCGCTGCTGGAGACAAGTGGACGCTGCCTAATGTCTCCGGTTGTCGTGTCGTCAGTCACGGGCGACCTCGGCGGCCGGCACGGGGCCCGCGCGGCCACAGCGCCGGCTCGCTCCCATGCTGCCCGCGCGGGTCACCAGCTGGCACGTCCGCCCACGCAGACGACACGGATGCTGCGTGGGGCAGGGTGCGGAAGAAGTGAGACTAGAAGTCCAAAATGGAGAGGAGAAACGGATTTGGGTATGCTTCCTGGCAATCCAGTTGTCGATCCTCCACGCTCGTAGTCGAACATCCAAATTAATGCATGAAGCAAAAGAAAGAAAATTAATAACATTATTCGAAGCAGGCACATCACCATAATTGTACCGGGAGATATCAAACATTTTCCCAAATGCCCACGGACTTTGACTGAATTACTGCAAAATCAACCAGTGCCCAATCAAAATCATCAAAATCAATTAATCAAAGCCTCTTAGCTCATAGAGGGAGGGAAAGGGACACGACCCTCGTCCAACCCCCCCCCCCCCCCCCTCTTGGCTACACCCCTCATTCGAAATTATGTGTACCGTTAAACGAATTTCAGATGTTTCTAAAACTAAAGGACGTATAATAACAGCGCTGCAAACATAATGGCAATTAGGTTGAGCGACTGCATTCCACAATAAGACACTGTTGTGCGAGACGTGAGGGGACTCCCACCTCTCGCATAGGGCACCGAAGCCCCGCCAGCGGCGATCGATGGGGCACAGAATAGAGTAAACACCACAAGAACTTTGAAATGATCTATATCTCCCGTTTATCACTATCCATGTTTCTTTTTAGTACAGCTGTCACTGTGCCATATGTGATACTACGCGCAAGGAAAGAAATAATTTTTAGTCTAAGAATGGTGTTTGTGACACTCAAGTGACGGCATTCACTTTCAGTAATGTTATAACAAACACGGAAGATGTTGAATTATGTACTTGTATTTGCTCGAAGTCTGTTCACGAGGAGCTTTCCAATTATTTGGCTCGTTACAGAGTTTGCTAGACTCAATTCGTTACAACAAAGTATTACGAAATTTGCCGTAAAATTTGATGTTATAAAAAAGCACGAAATCGAACGATGAATGTAATAAACGTGCTGACACAACAGAATGTGGCAAACCCAGACTACACATCCAAATATGCATGAAAGAAAATTGCAAGTTCATGGGATCTGTGAGCACGCCCAGCCGGCACAGCGACACAGCATGCTGTCACGACACAGCATGCTGTCGCGGCGCGGCCTCGGCCACGCGGTGGAATGTGGCCGGTGGAACCTACCGCCGCGGGCGCTGACCCCCGTCCCGTGGCGGACCGTACGGGACGCTTGATAGGTGCGTGTATGCAAGCTGACTTATGGGTGGTAGTTCGCTCGAACTAAATGTTATGTCGTGTCTGCCTGGGATAGCAGGGGCAGAACGCCACTGGACTCGGTCCAATACGGATCGCCGCGTTGCTACACGTCTCTCTCTGACCGAGCTTAGCCGAACCGCTGGACGAAGACATGACAGGATCGACATTCATTGAAACGCAAAGATCGCACACACTGACATACATACGGACGTACAATCACACGGATCACTTGGGGCTTAAAACCAAGTCGCATGACCTGACGTTTGCGTTTTGAACTGTGAAGTTTTGATCACTTCAAAGGTGAAGAAACGGTGCTGAGCGGCTTGGTGATGGAAGAGCTTGGGGATGGAGGGCTTGGTCATGAAAGGCTTGGTGATGGAAGCCTTGGTGGTGGGAGGCTTGGTGGTGGGAGGCCTGGTGATGGGAGGCTTGGCGACGGGAGGCTCGGTGATGGAAGGCTTGGTGACGGGAGGCTTGGTGGTGAGAGGCCTGGTGGTGGGAGGACTGGTGGTGAGAGGCCTATTGGTGGGAAACCTGGTGGTGGGAGGCCTAGTGATTGGAGGCTTGGCGACGGGAGGCTCGGTGATGGGAGGCCTGGTGATGGGAGACCTGATGGTGGGAGGCCTGGTGATGGGAGGCTTGGAGACGGAAGGTTCAGTGATGGGAGGCTTAGTGATGCAAGGTCAGGTGATGAGAGGCCTGGTGATGGGAGGCTCGGTGGTGGGAGGCCTGGTGATGGGAGGCTCGGTGGTGGGAGGTTCGATGGCTTCCAGCCGGCACCCGCTCAAGAGGAGTCAGATTAACATGGAGGAGCGCACCGGCATCTCCGTTAGTGAAACAGAGGAAGGTGGCTTGAAAGGAGCTTGGGCAGCGGGAGGCGGTGGGGATATTCTTTACATTGCAATGCTTAAAATACTTTTGGGAAGTCCCTCTCTTTCACCAAAACATTAATCCAGGACCAGCCTGGAGACTCCAGAGTCAGTGTTATATGCTGGCTGCGTTTCATATCAGAGACCATACACGAAGGAACGCTTGAAAAGGTGGGGAGCCAAGCTTAGGATATACTGAGGATATACTGAGGATATACTGAGGATATACTGAGGATATACTGAGGATACATTGAGATGCATGCTATCATGCAGCCTCGGTGACCGGGGGTAGGTTCGAGTCGCATTAGACGCTCGCTATGTGCCCTTCACAGGCATGGCCTGCGGCTGTTGGCAGCAGTCACGCTGAAGATAGGTGACGTCAGAGGGCAGGACGGACTGTGCTGAGCAATGTGGTATGTTAACCTTTCTCGGCACCATCCTCTGTCTTTAGCCTGAAATCGCAGGTTCGGATGGCTACGGCTCGGATGGTTACAGCTCGGACGGTTACGGCTCGGATGGTAACGGCTCGGATGATTGCGGCTCGGAGGGATACGGCTCGGATAGTTACGGCTCGGATTGTTACGGCTCGGATGATCACGGCTCGGATGGTTACGGCTCGGATGGTAACGGCTCGGATGGTTACGGCTCAGAGAGTTGCGGCTCGGATGGTAACGGTTCGGAGGATCACGGCTCGAATGGTTACTGCTCGGATGGCTATGGTTTGTCACGACTCACAGAACAAGCACCGCTTAGCGTAGGCTCTGTTCCCAGAAATCCCTCCATTCTAAAGGTCTGGATAAAAACTTGAAAAAGAAGCTCGCTCTCAATCCACATAAAGCCTGTTGGAGACAAGTGAATGCCCTGGTTGTTTTGTTTTGCATGTAAATGTGAATATATACATATATATATATATATATATATATATATATATATATATATATATATATATAACTACAGCTGCTTTCTCCTGGTGTACAATTTTACATTCTCGACAGATCTATACCATTTGGAAAATAAGACTGCTCCGCTTCCTATCCTTTCTATCGTCCGGTTCAATATTGTTTCTCCTGGGGATGCAAATTTTACGAGCTGAGATGCTTATCGAGTCATTAGTCAGGCATCTGCCTGCACAATTCACGTTTCAAAATGATGTCTGGGAGTAGGCTTGTTAGTATTTCGAATTTGAATCCATCGCCCACGGTGTGCTAAATTTTTGGTGTGCCTGGATTTTGCCGATTGCGTTACAAAAGAGGAGATTTTCGTAGCACTTCAGGAAGAGGCAAATTCGGAAGCTTTGAATACCGTCTGTTGAAAACCATGTGACAAAGCCATTAAAGTGGTGTTGTTCCTTCAAGAGCCAGTGTCCGCCGTCGGTGCCCACTGCCCTGGGCTGGCTGCTCCCTGCAGGGCACCGCGAACGGATCGCCTGAGTGCTCTGCTGCATGTTTGTTGATCAGCACCACTCCTCATTTGTATAGAGAGCAGATGGGAGGCCTGTTAGAGTGCCTTTTACAAAATTATCTTACTTTATCCCACACCACAGCAGAACATAAACTCTAAGGAACATGCTTGCCTTAGACATGAATTGGTCCACCTGGCTTTCATTTATTCCTTCTTCAACGTAGTTTATTTTTACCAGCTGTCACTTTTTGGGGTGCGGGACCAAAACATACCGTTGTCCCCGCCCGCCGGCAGAGGGGGGGGGGGCGGCTGCCTTCTCTCCCCCCCCCCCCCCACCCTCCCACCCCTCGCTGCGCCCACCCCTTCCCCCCCCCCCCGCCTGCTGGCGTGACATCTGCCATGGGTTTTCGGTCACCAGGGCTTTTGCTAGAGCAAAGACTACTTTGTCATATTCATAGTGTGTGTAGCAGTGCACTCTGCCTGTTGGAAGGGTTTAAAACCTAGACTCCGACAAAAATGCATTACTAAACTTGCTCAAATTTCTCACCCACAAAAGCCTGCAAAGTCTGGCCCAAACCCCGGCTAAAAGCCCGCGGGCTCTTGCTGGGTCAGATTTGGTGGTTCTTAGAATAAAAAGTTGCAAAGCATTATAAAGCTGAAGTTGGCATAGCAGCTACGCCTCAACAGTCTCCAATGGGGACGCGTCCTCCTAATAATCGCCGTCTCTGGCATCGCACCTACGACGTTGCATATAACGAAAGGGCGTAACATACTCTCCCCTCCCCATCACTAGCGGCTGCCGTCGCCACTACATAAAGCACAGCCGCTTTAATTGACAGCAAAGCTATCCTGGCGGTAAACTCGCCATGGAAAAAAGTCCCGACTGGAAATATGTGGTATAGCAGCGACGCACTCCCGGAGCTAACATGACATCACATCCTGCAGGAACGTCCCTCGCCCGCACTTTTTGCTAAAGCGGCACGCGATCTCCGGTAACGATGAGCCATAACTTTTCCGAGCTGTGCTGGAGCCGCCACCGCCCCGGCAGAAACAAAGGGCGTCGGAAGCCAGGCGACGGAAGGGAGCCGGCGGCGCCTTCCGCCACGGGAAACCGGTCAGAGCACGCCGGCGGTGGGTAGCGACGGCCGGCCGCAGTTCATTTCAGTACAGTTCAATTTTAAGTTCGGCCCGAGCTGCGGCGCGTGGAACACGATCCTTGATATATTTTGCAAAATATTTAAAGTAAGTGGTTTTCGTGACGGCCAATTAAAATTATTAGCGGACAAGTCTGGCATTGCTTTCGGAGCGAGGTGTGTATAGCGAAGGGGGCCAGCGTCAGCCTTGTCGTAGGGAGTGTAGCAGCCTGTCGTCGCGAAAAGCAGAGGTAGGGATGAGAGCAAAACATTGTTTACGCCCACTGCGAACATTGTTTGGCACTTAGCAGCTTACCAGGCCGAGACGTCTTATCGCAATCACTTAGAAAGTTACTCGTAATTAACTGCGCAACGATCTCAGGAGAAAGCCGTCGTCTACTGAGAAGCTTGGACCCTTGGGATGCTGCTGAGTGGAGATGACCGTTCTTGCATACTCTACGCGCTCTTTCATTGTCGTGGCAGATGAGAACGCACTGCAGTATGAACCGAGTGTTCCTTCCAAACCCCATCATTTAACTCTTAAATAGGTAGTGTTACGACCACCACTCTCATCGGCGTGTCACGGTTTAATCCTCTTCATTGGATTAAGATTGCACTACACTGATATTCTTTCTATCTTGTTAACGGCTCCTCCTTAGCGAATCCTATAAAAACGAGAAAAATGTAAGACATTCTTATCATAGCCAGCGTTTGTAAATAAACAGCCCTCACTAGGCAATTATAAGCTGAGACACGATTAAAGCCCGCAATCGATCAAAACTGACAGAAGCATCGCTGTTTGCGCCGCTCAGTAGGCGATGTTCCATTACACAGCGGAGGACGTGGATGAACAACCCTTGGGCCTCGCGCAGGGTTTACAGCTATAACCGGTGTGATTTTCAGCGGCAGTAGGTGCAGTTTTCTGCCAACTGCCAAACATCGAAAACTGCTTCATTCGAACTTTGTTTACGACTGAGAAGGCACAGTCAGACATTTAGCTGCCAGCATCCATAATTTTGCAATTTATTCGCGCAGAGTTTGTTCATATTTACTTAGCAGATACGTAGCGCAATTCTTGTATTTAAACGACTTCTTTTAAGTGACTGGTGACAGGAAGAGCCGGAAGCATTTTGCATGAATCGTCCATGAGCCGACGCCCAGCAGTCTTTCACAGCCATGGTTTTGTAATCCAACTGAAGTATGTGTTGTATAATTCCGGCTGTAAATCAACGGCCTTGAACCGGGCAGTTCCAAGCTGAAAGACCATTAAGCCCCTAGCCAATGCTAAGAGTGCTTCCGTTTGCCAACACTCCTCCGCAAGGAGACCCTAAAAGAAGATTTAAGAGCACAGGCTAATTTATATTTGAACGGATTGCTGCCAAAGTCGGTTAAAGAAAAATACATCAGCGAGGTAACGAAGACTTCATTGAATTATGCATGAAGTTAATTAGTGTGACCGTATCTTCGACTTAAGCATGCTAAAATGTGACCAACGTCATCAGAAAATTGGATGCGGTTCACCTCAGCATGAAACCACAATTGATTCTTTTTGCTTTATCACCTTTTTCCTTTAATGCATTGCTACTGAAGCTTGTAACACTATTTCAAAGTGATGCCCATCTCTCTTTTGGATCCTTCGGCCGGGCTCGAAACTCAAGACCATATTTCATCCCTTCTCGCGTGCCTATCATCCGTTCCATCCCGCTATGCCTGGACGTATTTACCCTCGCATTATTTGCGAATATCCTGCGACCTCTCACGCAGCATCTTGCTGCCGCGCCGGCGGAGTCTCCCATTATCAGCGGGTCGTAAAGCACTGAGAGTGGCGCGCCCAGGTGGTCAGTTTCCACACTGAATCACGGCGAACGACGCTCGTCCAGCACCGAGTATTCAAAGTGGCGACAATAAATATGCGACAACGAGAGGCAGTGACACGCGCCGGAAATATACGGCCCGCTTGTTATAAACGAGACGCGACGACTTAACGGCCCTTCTCAGCCGCTGGGTGAGGTTAAGAGCACGCGAATTGGGAGGGGTAGGCGCATGCGCGAGCTGTGGGTAAAGATTGGTTGCTGGGGGCTCGCCGGACGCGTGTCATTGGGAGGAACTATCCTGCTGATTGACGACCTGCCTGACTTGGTAAAGTTTCGTTACATCACGTGTTTCATAAATGTATGGATAGGACCTGCGTTGCGTTATTGGCAGATGAGGTCCATGACCATGGGCTCTACTTTGCTCGTGATATAGCCGGATGGGCAAAGACAATAGTCCCCTTCATCTCTCTGGCCTCACATAAGATATCACAGGTCACATTTGTCGATGTCTGTTAGGGCCTATCTGATAAGCTTTTTTCTAAGAGCGATTCACCGCCACCTTCCGTATTATTGTGACATGCTATGTTCTTGAGATTCACAAGGGTCTATTAGCTTAACCTTTGCCCTGCTAGAGGGGTTGATGCAGCCCCCCCCCCCCCCCCCGTAAGGTTTTTAGGTTAATTCCCCAGAGTGCTGTGCCATCGTGCCCTAGTTGACCAAGTCTATGGAGCATTCATTGCACGTGTTTTAATGCCAAAGACGTGTTCCTAGCTCCCTTGGTTCTGGAGCAGTAGTAGTATTTGTGAAACGCTGCACGAATATTTACGGTACGAGCGGGCGAGCGGGAGGCAAAGGATGCTGCCGCGGAAAGTGCGCGGCAGGCTGACATTGCTACATCAGCGTAACAATACATAATAAACGTACACAATAAACGTACAGTCAATGTTGCCTTCCCGTGACTCTAGCTTGCTTAGTCTTAGATATATTCGGGGAGGCCTACAAACCAAAGCATGACAAAAAAATTAATAATGCTTTGACCTCCTGACGATAGCAGGTTTTCAGCCAGCGGCTGAAAGACTGTTTGTCTTTCCAGCTGGCTTCATGTGTCTCAAAATGATAACATGATTGACACGTTGAAGGTAATTTTTAGTTTCTATTGACATGACAAAATGACGTGGACTCTACAAGATCTAATAAGTTCATCGAGTCCGTCAATGAACTTAAAAACATCAAAGAACTTTCACCGAGGTCTCATACTATCGTTATCAACTTTTATGTAATTTTTATTCAGATGGCAGCGCATGCTTTTAATGGATGGGATCGTATTTAGAGCTTGTTTCGGAGGGACCAGAGATGTGCCGGTGGGTTATGGGCTTCATTCTGAGACTTGTTAAGAACTAAAATGGCAACGACAGGAGTTTTGTATCAAGCGTGTGGCTTTAACTTCCAAACTGCGTTTTCTTTGCATTATTCGAAAACGTTCCCCACAACATATTTGTTATTTGACATGACTGAAGCTGGTGTCGTTTTAGCGACCCATAATCCTGTATTACTCCATGTGTTAACAGTCGGAAAAGTCTCAGCCACAATTCGTCTCAGTCACAGGTAGCGTGAATAACTTAAAATCGCCACATGCCCTCAGAAGCTAACTCCCTAAAGACGACTATATGTTGTGTGAGGCAAAAATGAAGTCGAATAAGTAATCACCGAATGAAGTTTGATCACTCTTCCCCAAAATCCTAGATTCCGGTCGAAAAGGATCCCTCTAACTACTTAGTTCTAACTGCATCTTGTTTGTTCAATAGAATTCAGATGACCTCCTTACAATAGTTATATACGTGTTAGTCATTAAGTAAAATGCATCGTAAATGCATTTTCGTTCAGGCACCTCGCTCATATACACCAAAAGTACAAATACAAAACGGACACCGGATGTAAGCCAGAGCCGACAGCTTTTTCCTCAGAACACAAGTGATAAAATGGCGCACATTGCCCACACTTTGACCGCACACATTACAAGAAATCACGGGCGACAAAAATACGCTAGCTTTGCACAGATGAAGACAACGTGATTCTCCAGGA